CCCCCCCGGGGGATGGCCATGTCACAATCCCTTCTCCTCCATTCTCCTCTCGGGATCTTGGGCATGCACGCACACGTGCCCGGCGTGAGTTTAAGTCCCCGGGTTCGGGACTCGAACTGTGGTTGACTACGTGGGAATACAGCGACATAGCCATTACACTACTGATGGTCCCTTTCTCTCTGTCTTTCTGGCAAGTGCACACACCCCATAGCAAAAACCTTGTCCAAAAAAAAAAAAGAAAAGAAAAAGAAACGGGGAGGCAGACACCTCCAAGGATGCCTCCGGTGATGCGCTGAGGGCCTTTCCTTTGCCGCACGAAGCGATGAGCAATTTTTGAGCTGCTCTGTGAAAACCCAGAGTTTTAAGACTCAAATCACAAATGCCCAGGTGTTTACCCAGAGAGCTCTGCCACCTTGTGGTTTACAACAGGGGGCCAGCCAGGCCCTGCCCACAGGGGGCTGGCACAGAGAGCAAAATAAACTTACGATTATGATCATGAAATATCACTGAAAATGTCTGCCTCCGTGGCGGTTTAGGGGAAAGGAGCTGGCATTGTACTTCCGAGTGTGTAATTCGAGAAAAGCAATTCTTTGGTAAATAACACTTACTCTGTGCTACCTATTAACTGTGCTCAACAGAATGAAGTCAGGGCATGCCTGAATTCTTCAGTGATTCTGCCAGATTTTATTGTGTGTTCATTTGAATGAAGCCTGCTAAGACTCAGAAGCACGACCAAGGTTCAGAATGAAACACCAGAAGGGGGGAACAGAAACAAACCCCTGAATGCAATCATCTTCAAACAAAAGACTTAACGATAATACGTAGGATTAATTTCATTGGGACAAACGACGTATTTGAACGAGTTCTATTTAGTGGCAGCCAAAAGAATGAATCATGCCTTTATTCTAGCAATAGTGAAAGCACGACAGGGAAGTCTTGGGGGGAAGGAGCGAGAGCTCAAATTCTGGTGATTTCTTGGCATCTCAAATTCACAGTCAGTTCACACAATTTCCTAGAGGGCGAGGTAGGCAGGAAAGGTGAAGAAAGGGAAGGAAGAAGCACAGTCAGCAAGCGAGGGCAGTCCTCTCCCCACGGGACTCGTCTCCAGCGCCTCCTTGAGGAAAATGAAGGTGCTACCCTGTGACTGAGCGTACGACACTGCCTACCGATCCACTGCTCCCTGCCTGAGCAAAGCCAGCCAACCAGGTATTTCCTCTTCAGATGCCCAAGTCTGTCCACACTGCACATCATCCAAGACTTCAATTTTGATTTGTATGCATTTTTAATAGCCACTGACCCTGGATGGAGGTAGAAATGGATCTTGATGGCTACATGTGAGATGGGTAGGAAGTAGAAAGTTGGCTGGATCATATTATACTGAGGAATCCCGGAGACTGATTTCCACACAGGCTTTATCTTGGGATATCAGATCCATTTTTAATGGTTCAAGCAGGGTCAAGTGATGGGTTCTGAGCCACTGCCCATGCCTAGAGCAATATTTAGTGTTTCACAAAGAAGAGGCCTTGAATAAATGAGAGGGAAATGCCATTCAACTAGAGAATTTAGGTCAGAGACAGTTCTATTATACTTTGACTAAAAAGAATTTTGACGAAGACATAGCTTTTAGTCCCTAAATAATCATCTTTTTATATATATACATATGTGTGTGTATGTGTGTAAACAAAAAACCTTGTTATCTCTAAATCCTTGTCTGTTAAAATAGCTGGTGCCATCTGTGCCATCTTACAGAATGAGCCAAAGTTCACTGAACCTAAGGTTGAAGTAGAAAGGTTTGGGGCAGAAACGACTGGGTGAAACAGAGAGTTAAAAAGGTCTGAGTGGACCCTTGGCTTTTGTAGTTTATTAGCTGTGTGACCTGAGCAAGTGGCTAGCCTCTCTCGGCCAGGTGTTTTTTTTGGAGAGGTTTTTGCTATTAGGGCACGTGCGCTTGCCAGACAGAGAGAGACATAGAGATAGAAAGCGAGAAATCACCCCCCAGGGGGGATGGTCACGTCTCGGCCAGGTTTTGAGGCTTTGAAGAAAAATCCACCTTATGTCATTGGGTTGTTACCAGCATGACGTGTGATGAGGATGGCAAAATGACACATGGAGGCTGTGGGAGGAGAGGCAGCTCTGCAGTCCATGGGCTGGGGCCACCCCTCAGCTACCAACTATCAGTGACCCCAGGGGAGGACTGGTCCTTGGAGGCCCTGTCGCTTTTAGGACAAACCCGGCCCTCGGGAGAGTTGTGCTTACACGTGCTTAGCTCAGGGCCTGGCACGCTGGAGGTAATTACCACAGGCCAGAACCCTGACCCTGACCCCTGCTTTATCTTTTTTATTTAAGTTTTAGTTTTTGCTAGAGGGTGTATGTGCTCTCCAGTGGGGTGGGGAGAGAGAGAAATAAAGAGAGAGAGAGAGAGAGAGAGAGAGAGAGAGAGATTACCCTGGGGAGAGGACACGCAGCAATCTCCTTTCCTCCATTCTCCTTTCAGGATTTTAAGCAGGTGAGCACAGGTGCTCGGTGTGTTTTTCAAGTCACCAGGTCTGGGACTCAAACTATGGAGTTGGCTAGGTGGGATCCAGCTGCTTTAACCACCACTGACTGGTCCAACCCCTGCTCAATCTTTAAATAAAGCCTGGGAGTGATTTGGAAATAGATAGCTGAAGAAAGAAAGGATCTAAGTGCACGCGTAGTAAGGCTGAGGAGAGGCCCCTCGGCACCACCCGATTCCTAAGTGTGATAATTAAGGTGTAATTGGGCTTGTGTGACCTATTTGGAGAGCAAATGAAAATCGACCAAAAGGCTGGAAACATACCATCCAAGAGAGAGGAGAGAATTGTGCATAACTTGTTCTGGAGAAATATGATGAACGGCACAAATGTAGCAGAATGGGATCTTGACAGGAAAAGAGAGATTATTTAGGACAGGGGTCAATTTTCAGTTTAAGAGGAATGCTATTGTTATTTTCTCAAGGTCTTGCTGGGAAATCTAAGACATTCACATCACACACAGTCGTTCAAAAGACCAAAATAACACTGTTATCAAAGCTCAAGTTTATGGGTTTCTTTCTTAAACTTGTTTTCCTTATTTGATTTTCTGGGGTTTTTCCAAAATAATGAAGATAAACATGTGGTCGAGGCTAAAACTTAATCCAGTCCTTGCTTCTCCGCAAAATACACATGCAACTCCACCCGAATACGACACACACACACGACCTGAAACAAACTAGTCCATGCTTTCTTATAATAAAGTCTCCTTTAAATGGCTCTTCATCTTTTCATCATAGTCTTGGTCTTCAGTGTCTTAATATCAGAGACCAAAAAAAAAGAAAAGAAAAGAATCTTTCCCCCCAGTTGACCACTGGTTGTGAAACAGATGACAATGGGAAGCCTGAATGCTAGGTTTAGGGCCACGGGAGAATAAGGTCTTTAGGTCAAGCAAGCTAACCTGGACTGCCCAGAAGATTCTGGCAGAAGGGAGGGGTTCTGGGCTAAGGAAGAAAATTGGGAGTGAGAAGGAATTAGGGGTGTCTGGTGGGAAGGGATGCATCTTGAGAATACAGTGAGGACGAGAAGATGTGTCTGATGAATGGGTTGTGGGGGCGCAGCGCCAAATCTTTAAGACTTCTGACTGGGAGATTTCCAGGGAGGAGGATTAGGAGTGTGGTCATTTTTCTTCACGATGGAGAGTTAGGACAGAAGCCAGCAGGTATGGCTGCAGGACTGATGGGGAGACATGAACGAGACCACAGTCCCCAGCCCTGGGCTGCCTAGGACAGCTCCAAAGCAAGACTATCCTCTTGAGCCATCAAGTGGGCTCCTTTCTGTGGCCCTGTCCCTCCTGTGGCTCTCAGGGCTCTGAGTAGGATGATCTGACTTGTCTTACCAAAGGCAGAAGAGCCTAAAGCACCTCTTGTCTCACAGTTGAATGCTGTGGGTTGAATTATGTGCCCCCAAAGTCGCACATATGTTCAAGTCCTAACCCAAGGCACTGGTGACAGTGACCTTATTTGGAATTGGGTCTTTGCAGAATGATCAAATTAAGGAGCCTCAGAGGGACACGACTCAGCCAACGCCTTGGCCTCAGACCTCCAGCATCCAGAACTGTGGGAGTATAAACTTGGGGTAGGCCACGCAGTTTGTGATACTTCATCATGGCCCCAGGAAAGGAGCACACCGAGACTGCTCTACACATGCTTCCAACTTGGTACAAAAAAATATGTGACAGGGAGGGAGCAGCTGGCTCTTTTAAAATTATAGCAGGTATTGGTTTTTATTCTGAAAAGAGAACAAGGAGTTTTAATTCTGGAAAAAGAACCCAGAATTGACAGGGTTCTTTGTTATGGCCAGAGAGGCTCTATATGTACTGCTATTCAGAGAGGGTATGATTTGATTTTTTCCTGGCCTCAAGACCAGGTACCTGAGGGTCTGTGTAAGACCATCCAGCTCATAGCCACCCCCAGGAAGGGACCCTAGTCATGGCAGTCATTAGGTGGGAATGCGTCACAACCAAGTAAGGCCATCACATGTCAGATCACTTCTGCAGTACATTTCAGAAAAAAGAAAAAAAAAAGGAAGGAAAGAAGGAAAAGCAAAGCATAAAAAATGCAACAGCCTACCTGACTCGGTCCTCTGAGTCTTCTCTCAGAACAAGCCTTTCACTTGTTCTGTTTCTGTGTCGAGATCGATGTCGTAAAAGCAGGGCCGAGTGGGCAGTCCCGGCATGGTGCTCATCTGGAGGAGAGACAGCGTGGCATGTTAGCAGTTGTCACTGGGTGCGCACACTGAACACCACGCGTGGGGCACGCAGATTAACCACGGGATTCAATACAGCGTCATACAAGCTCCCGTTACACGTTCACACCACCTGCCATTTCAGTCTTTGTTTATGGAAATGAAATGCAATAGTCTCCCCTCATTCACGGTGGGTGTGCGGGTTCTAGGACCACCAGTTGCTGCCTGAAGCCTGCTGGTACAAACCCCTGCACATCCTATGTTTTCTCCCATGCACACACGCTTATGATAAAATTTAGCTTGTAAGGTAGGTACAGTAAGAGACAGCAATAAAAAGAAGAGCTACAACAATATACTGTAGAAGAAGTTATGTGCAGGCTGGCTGCACAGCCTGGTTAAGGAGGCCAGATCCACACCGCCGACTGCACAGTTCGAGTCCCAGACTTGGTGGCTTGAGAAACACATTAGTCATGGGCGCCTAAAATCCTGAAAGAAGAGAAAAGTGGAGGAAGAGGGATTGTATTGTGACCATGCCCTATGGGAGGTACTTTCTCCTCTCTGGTAAGCACACATTCCCTCTAGCAAAAAAAAAAAAAAAAAAAGAAAAAAAAGGAAAAAAA